GGGGGGGGGGGGTCGCTGCTGTAGCTGCAGGAGTAGAAGGTGCACCCCTGATCTTTAGACTGTATTTTAGGCTTGTCCTGATCCGATATTTGGATCGTATCGGCCGGCATGAGAAAATGCCAATCGAGACTCCAGATACATTTTTTTTTTAAAGTCCGATCCCACCCGAGCATTAGCATTAGCATTAGCATCTCCTAACCCACAGGTCTGTGTAAACTTTAGTTGATATAAGAGTAAATCCCTGTTCAACATGAGTCTGACAACTAAGTAAGTAGAAAAAAAAAATCAACTTTAATACAAAAAGCTTGATCGGGACATCCCTACTGTATTTCTACATAATAAGATGATTTCTATAACTATAAAATAGTTATTGAGGGGTGAATTGATTCAGACGGAGCACTACTGAAGGCCTAGGTGTAAAATGCACGGCCCGCCACTGGATTCTAGTAATCATTAAATAACCCTAAACTGCACCTGAAGAAAGAATCCCACCACCGTACTAATGAAGCTGGTACTCACCATATCCCAGACAAAATTAGTCAACCAGTAGACAGCCGGGTTTACTCCGCTGACAAATTGCAGATGCTTGGCTTTGCTCACCCGCTCTTGGATGAGGAAGAGGACAAAGCTGGCAGGGATAAAGGACATGGCAAATATAACGCAGATGGACACCACCACGTCAGTTGAGGTTGTGGCCCTGTGGTTGAAGACAGAATACAGAAAACAGGACGTTGACTAGAGAGGACACAATGGACACATGGAACATACATCTCACATGTAACGTACCCTAATTGATGTACAAATATTAAAACAATAAACTGCTATTCAGTCTCTTGTAGGAGATAAATAAAACCATTTATGTGTTCTGGATTTAAATATATTTAATTTGATTTAAATTTAATTGTACAACTTCTAAATGCATTTGATTGGGCTCAGTAGTACAGTTGATTTCCAATTCCACAAAGCTGTGGGCGATGCTTCACACCATGGAGCTCACTTTCTCGATAAAAGATGACTCCACGCTGTGGAGTGAGTGTATGCAAACGGGTTACCGCAAAGATTCCCTGAAAGAGAAGAGTTAAAAAAAAAATCTCCATGTTCATGCTGAAATGCCATCGCAGCAATAAGGCTCATTTTGCATTCAACCTCCTTATGTTCCAAATGCAGAAATATTCAATGTGACAAACTGATTCAAGCATTACACCGGCAACAATACAGTAACCCTTTGTGATAACATATCAGGGAGACTTTTTTCCCCCTGGAAACTCCATTAAAGCAGCGTAGAAAGTTTGCTTTTACTTGCTGACTTTTACTCCTATCTTAGCCATCGTTGGGTGACGGGTACAGCACACTGCACCGGCTGCCAATATATCAGAGTCAAGAACAAAACAAATATTTTTGCTCAATCTGAGGGCAATTTAGAACAATTAGACCATTTATCCCCATGAGAAACTGATCCGGTATTACATATCTGAGATTGGCAATATTACTTGAACTTTAGAGAATATTTGAGTATCTGGAGTGGCTCCCTTTCGCAGAAACTGTGAATAGTCATTTTTAATTTGCCTTTCACACACACACATGCACGCGCACACACACACGCACGCACGCACGCACACACACACACACACACACACACACACACACACGCACACACACGCACACACACGCACACACACACACACACAGCAGCTTTAGCTCTAAGATGCTGAACAGATAGTGGTTTAATGTCAGGACATTTAAAGAGACAATCCAAAAACAATCGTTTTGTTATGTTGAATCAATCATTCTTTGGTAGAATGATGTTTTTTTTGTTGTTGTTTTCCTTTTCTGCAGTTTCACTGGGTGTGTTTCCTCCTGAAATTGGCTGGTACAATTTAGGACTCAGTTGCATCAGTGTTTGAAAGCCAGTCTGTCCAAACCATGGCAGGAAACAAAGTGACAAGTTGCCTGACATGTAAAGCTGTGCATTCCTTTTTTCAATCGTAAAACTATTTTCGGTTTTTCGGTCCAGAAAAAACCACATACAATGGCCTTGCGACCTTTCCCTGCATCTTTTGCTGAAGTTGTCAGAAATATACTTACTAACAAGTGTTGAAGCAATGGTCTTCACAATCCTTGATGGATCAAATACTGTAAGATGCTTACCAACATCCGATGGACGTAGTCACAGCACCGAATTAAATTGAATTGAATTTAATTTAATTGAATTTGAATTGAATTGAATTGAATTGAATTTAATTGAATTGAATTGGAAGGAAGGGGAAAGGTAACAGCGAGGCAGTGAGTCCAAGGAATGCATGAAGTCTGTACTTGTGGTTGTGTAAGTGTAAGCAAGCTGGAGTCCACATCCACAGGCTAGATGGAATTTGTCCTTGTGATTCTAAACCTAACTGCAAAGTCTCGTCACTAAAAGATGTATAGTAGTGTGTTTTTTCCATCATACTTAGTAATAGCAGTTGAATATTATACCAGTGCTGTTGCTAGGGCTGAAAAAAAGAAAAGAGCGACATATTTGAACGTTTTCATCAACTTTTATGTACTATGTTCACTTCAAAAGGTAAGGATGTGTTTTTCCTGGATGACATCAACCCTAATTTCACTATAATACATTGATACTGATGCAATCCCAAAGCTGTAAATGGCCTTCAGTCTTTCTTCTCACTTAACTCAGAATGTAATTGGTTTCCATTCTTTTAGCCTCCGCATTCCTCAACCTGAGTCCTGCTTCTTATTAGCATATTTAATAAGCTGCCCTATGTGGCCACATGGTTACAATTATCATTGCCAATCAGGCACAATTAGAGCACAACAAATATGAAATAATTCACAGTTATGTGGGTACAAACCCACATCTCGGCAGGTTTCGAGAGCTATGTGCTCGGTTTGGGTAGGGAGGTAATGTAGAGGACAAAGCTATGAATGATCTAACTCAGAATGCTTGAAGATGGTTAATTGCTGTGGAAAGAGGACAAGCAATGTGCTAATTAACTAATAATGAATGAACAAGAAAAATGAGCAATGGGAGTAAAGCTGTACAGAAAGGATTGTGTTCCTTTAGGCATTTTTATTGCTTAGGGCTGCGGGGCACAGCATCAAATGCAACAGTGTATGGGGGCTGAAAGTAGGAGAAGAATGTTGAATACATGACTAATTACATCAAAACACTGAGCTGGTAGACAGCAATTTTGATGCTGTTAGCGTAAATTACATTTTTATTTTGGCTGCTCTGTTATATGTATAATCTTTAAATAAGATTGTTTTGTTTTATGTACAGAATCAAAGTTAATTAGCCAGATGTAAATAAACAAATTGCACATGCTGTTGGACAGATAAGCTTTTGTCGGTTTCTGTAAACATTGTGCAGTTATTTAGAAGAAGTGCACATCATTGCTGACATGAGCACTGAAATCCCTCAGAAAAATATAATTAATAGATTAGATTTAAAGTGGCTTCCTGTTAACACCCCTCTAACATGACAAGGGGACAGTTTTACGGAGAGAACCAATGCAAACAACAAGTGGCCAGAGTGCCTCAATGATGTGTTATTGACTGAACACTTAAATGTCAATGATGAACAGGTTCTAAGAACATATTTGAAAGCCCTGACAACAACGTTTCTTCAACCACCCAAAAGTCCCCCCTATGAAGTTTGGAAACCACTGTCCATATGAGTAAAATTTCATCTCTGCCATCTTTGACAGCCATTGGTTTAGAACATGCCCCTATGGTTTGTTTGTACAGGGATACACACACAACTCATTAGGTTATTTCAGTTCCAGGTATTTATAAATATTTTCCTGACTCAGACCTCTGTTTTAATTGGGACGGTTAAAAGCCATGCTTTCTCTCCCCATTAACAAATACACTATATTGCCAAAAGTATTTGCTCACCTGCCTTGACTCACATATGAGCTTAAGTGACATCCCGTTCCTAATCCATAGGGTTCAATATGACGTCGGTCCACCCTTTGCAGCTAGAACAGCTTCAACTCTTCTGGGAAGGCTGTCCACAAGGTTTAGGAGTGTGTTTATGGGAATTTTTGACCATTCTTCCAGAAGCGCATTTGTGAGGTCGCACACTGATGTTGGACGAGAAGGCCTGGCTCTCAGTCTCCGCTCTAATTCATCCCAAAGGTGTTCTATCGGGTTGAGGTCAGGACTCTGTGCAGGCCAGTCAAGTTCATCCACACCAGACTCTGTCATCCATGTCTTTATGGACCTTGCTTTGTGCACTGGTGCACAGTCATGTTGGAAGAGGAAGGGGCCAGCTCCAAACTGTTCCCACAAAGTTGGGAGCATGGAATTGTCCAAAATGTCTTGGTATGCTGAAGCATTCAGAGTTCCTTTCACTGGAACTAAGGGGCCAAGCCCAGCTCCTGAAAAACAACCCCACACCATAATCCCCCCTCCACCAAACTTTACACTTGGCACAATGCAGTCAGACAAGTACCGTTCTCCTGGCAACCGCCAAACCCAGACCCGTCCATCAGATTGCCAGATGGAGAAGCGCGATTCGTCACTCCAGAGAACGCGTCTCCACTGCTCTAGAGTCCAGTGGCGGCGTGCTTTACACCACCGCATCCGACGCTTTGCATTGCACTTGGTGATGTATGGCTTGGATGCAGCTGCTCGACCATGGAAACCCATTCCATGAAGCTCTCTGCGCACTGTTCTTGAGCTAATCTGAAGGCCACATGAAGTTTGGAGGTCTGTAGTGATTGACTCTGCAGAAAGTTGGCGACCTCTTCGCACTATGCGCGTCAGCATCCGCTGACCCCGCTCCGTCAGTTTACGTGGCCTACCACTTCGTGGCTGAGTTGCTGTCGTTCCCAAACACTTCCATTTTCTTATAATACAGCTGACAGTTGACTGTGGAATATTTAGGAGCGAGGAAATTTCACGACTGGATTTGTTGCACAGGTGGCATCCTATCACAGTTCCACGCTGGAATTCACTGAGCTCCTGAGAGCGACCCATTCTTTCACAAATGTTTGTAAAAACAGTCTGCATGCCTAGGTGGTTGAATTTATACACCTGTGGCCATGGAAGTGATTGGAACACCTGATTCCGATAATTTGGATGGGTGAGCAAATACTTTTGGCAATATAGTGTACTTTCTTCCCTGAATAAGCTGATGCATGATCCAGAAGTATATCGGACTTTTTCATTCTGCCAGTGAAGTATTAGGGTTTATCTTTAACATTGTAACTTGACCTTCTATGCATAAACCCCTGGAACAAACTCAGTGCTCACCAGTGCATTTTTCCCCACTTTCATGTCTGCAGCTTGTGCCTGTTCAACAGGAAGGAATGTCCATTTTTATCTGGACATCAAAGCTCGTAAATTGTGTGACATTCTGCACAGAGAGGTGGATAAGAAAAGAGGTTCATCCTTAATCTATTGTAGACAGGGCGTTGTAATTATCCTGAGCCCTGGTCCAGGCTCCCTTTCGGACTCAAGGCTGTTGTCAGCTATTGGAGGACATGGACTATAATGAGCGTGAATGGTTAATGAAATGGCCCTGTGGTATAAGGAGTCATGTCACTAAATGGTCAAATGCTACAGATGGACATGGTTTTGCAACATCCAGTAAATGTGTTAATTACTGAGCCTAAAGAACACAAAAAAATGCAAAACACCAGCTAACAATGAAAAATAAAACAGTTCAAAAGCAATAGTCATGATAACCAAACAAAACATTGCACATAAAGATGGTGGTGGTAAATGGGGTATACTGGCTGAGCCAAAATATGATTGAGCAAATTATGAATCTCTTTCTAAAGAAGAGTAGCTCCACGAAAGGCTTAAAAAAAAAAAAAAAACTCTATCCTTTAAGGCCCCTCCAAGGACATCCCAATCTGTGCACATGGAAACAAGTCCCTAATTTCTTCAGTCTTTTGTACTTTTGTATTTGATTGTTTCTTACACAGCTGTCTCCCTTTTTTGTTGCTGCTTTGCTTTGCGTATTGATGGTCAATCTGTTCCTCTTGCTAATCTATAGTGGTCCTTGAGACAGAAGGGAAACAAAAACAAAAAACAAGCTATTCGTGTTCTGCCACACAAAACCATTAAAAATATATATTTTTACACAACTGTTTCACACATTCACTCAGATATTATGGTCGGCACTGCTGCTGTAAAATATGATTAATTTTCTGTTCTCTTTTGGGCTACAACGTCACTGAATTGCCTGAATGGTTGTTGTTTTGGTTCTGTTGGTGATCAGAGGTTAGGTGTTATGCTCTTCACCTCCCCGAACACAAAGGATTTTTTAGGCTTAAAAGATTCTGTATGTGTTATGGCCATGAAATATATGTGGAGTATGACAGCACGTCAGAGTGAAAGCTTCCTTTAGGTTTTTGTGGTTGAGGGGTGAGTTCAAACTGGGCAGTTTAAAGTAAATCCCTCACAAACAGCTGTTACAATGATTTGGTATTATCATTGAGCTGTGCTTTGAATAGATCATGAATGTGTGTTCACCTGGTAATGTGTCTACTTTAAGAATCTTAGTCACTTGAACAGCTCTCATCACTTGTTGTTAACGAAAATAAACAAGTAGACTATGTAAAAAGAAAAAAAGAAAAAAAAAGAAAAAAGTCAAGTAGCACAAACACGACAAGCCACAAAGTCGACTAATGGTTCTGTAAAATTAATAATACATTTAATGAAATAACCCAAACATTTTTTTCAGGCATTCAATTAATTTTTAATGAATTTCTTTCTTCTTCTTTAGCTAAAGCTATATGAAGTACTTATGAGCTGTGAGTGCATTATTTGTAGCAGTGAAAAGAGTTCACAGAGTCAGATGCTTTACTGCGGAGTGAAAGCTGCAGAAGTACTTCTTAACCGACGCATCGATTATAGCTTTTAAAGATGCTGCTGTTTTCATCTAGAACCAGTCTGAAGAAAAGGCTGGAAAATGACATACACTCACAATGACTGTCAAGTTTTTTCCGAAATCATATATACATATATGAATGAGTTGTATATGCCTGATAATGCATAAACAAACATTCCCTACTCAGTCTGATGCTCCACTTTGAGTTTTGCTCACTTATATCAAAACTCCAGTGCTCAGAAGCAAAAATAAGCAAAGCTCAATTGTAAGCATTCTGGGCAACTTCAGTGAACATAAAAAAGGTTATCTTAGGAACTTCCATTTTCTATAATTTAAACATCCTGGTGATTAAAGGTCCAGCATGTGATTAGTGTATGAATATTTAATAAGTTATTTATTGATTGATTACTTGTCCACAGTAGCAAAAATGAATAAATACATAAATAAAAAAGTCATTTTTATGAGAGGGGCACATGCCATTAGTTTGTACACTACATTACAAAACACATTTTCTAAGAGAAGAGGAAGCAACAAAGGCAAATGGAAACCTAAATGCTAGTGTATGCAGTCTTGTCAGGAAAGTGAGTGGTTTTTAATGTATCCCATGATGGATTTACGCTCAGACTGTTGTAAAATGGGATAAAAATGTCCCAGACATTTCCTGAATGTGGCCTGAGCAATCAGATCTAAATGTACCCTCAATCAGTTCTGAGTGCATTTACAATTGTACATTTGTGCCAGGTGTGAACATGCTTGCAGAAATATGCATCATTCACATTGGTAGACTATAAATAGCTACAGACTTAATCCTTCCTTTGGACTGTAAGTGAAAATATGAGCACCAGGAGGAAAAACATATAGTCAGAAGTTTTAACACACAAACAGCTCACTTCTAGCTGTGAGGCAGTAGATCTCCTCACTGCACCATGTTGCCGATGAGTTTGATTCACTATGTGATCATAGGGCTTAATGAAGAAACTAAAATCTCCACAGTTCTGAGAAGAATTACAATTTTGTTGACTCACATGGCCACATAGGAGAGCTGCTCCTTTGTGAGGTTGAGAGGATGATTAGAGACAGAGATGCCGTACTGACGAGGATCCTGTCCTTCGGGCAGATTTCCTCTCAGGATGCCATTGCTGGCCACACTCAAGAAGGACACCATGCTATGCCACGCCTGGTTGTAGAACCACACCTGGAAGAGATCAGCACTGGCACTGAAAACAGCATGTCAACTCTGCAGTAGCTTTGGATGCAAAACATTCTAACTCATGTTAGTACAACATCCACCGATATAGAACTCTTCATGAGTTACTGTGGAACAGGTTTGCTGAGTGGAAAAAGGCTTAAAACAATAAAAGGACCAGTGTACTTTAGCCACTAGGCTGTGGCAGTTAAACAACAAGGTTCAAATTGATACAAAAATAAATAAAAGGTTAAAATTAATTTCAGACGGATTTTGGTGAAAAACAATACTGTTACTTGCAAATTTCCACACACTATTTCTCATTTTACGTCTCAGCGCTCCCAGTTCACTTGCTGAACAATGCTTGATCTGGGGAGAGGGTTAAAATTGTGTTTGACGAATAACAAAAAGTGGTTAATGAAAATCCGCAAAAGAGATGACAAACTTTTCATTAATAAGATTAGAAGATTATGCTTTTTTCATAACCTTAATGTTACAGTATGCAAGCTGCAGAGTAAAATTACTTTTTTACACATTCTTTTTCATGCAAGTGATTTTCTCAGCCTGTGGTTTGCTAGGGCGCTGAATTAAGAAAAAACATGGATGAAAGAAAGCTGGTGTGAAAGAGGACTCCCTGCTGATAGTACAGCGATAATTAAGAGTGGATGGTGTCTGAGTGCCAGCCCAACATAACACTGCATAACAAAGGAGCATGTGGAGGGATTGTCGAACACACCCAGACATGACACATGTGCATATACATGGGTCTTTTCTGCCTGTTTGTGTCTATACTCCTAAAATTTAACTCATGATAATGGCAAATGGTTCAAACTTCTCATGCAAACATTATTTTGACATGGTTAGTGGAAAGAATTTAAAATGTCATTTCTACTTTTAAAACAGCTGATGTTCTCTGAGGCGCAAAATAAAAGCCGTTTTTTTAAATATTCGTCTGAACTATCCAATTGATAGATACAATTAGAGGCCATTTCACTCTTGCACTTTTTTTTATGGGTGTTAAAAGTAAAAAGACGAGAACTGTGAAGGTTTTGCTTAATTGCATGTATGTTTCTCCTAATAACGAGTTTCTTCCCCAAAATCCAAAGGCTCTCTTCTAATTTCACCAGTCCTACTTATCACACTCCATTTGATGAACCAGTTTCCAACAATTAATGCAATACCTTGACGTTGTCCCGCGTTCCCAGGTTCTTCAGCAGTGTCTCAGCATGCTGGAGAGTCCGATTAGTCACATGATCCTAACAAAGATGGGGATTACACATAAGATATGTAAAACAAATGAAAAAAATAGAGAATTAATTGGCTACACTTGGAAAAAGCCACCGTTGCTCTTGGAAATGCAAAACATGAAGATGAAGAAGAGGAAGAAGAAGAAGAAGAAGAAGAAGAAGAAGACAATTGAGACTTCTACAGAGCCTTTGGGAGGACTGAGCGTCTTAATCAAAACAGACTTGAGGAAAAAAGATCCTTCCTGCACTGTGACACCAAAAAGTGTGACAATATTAAAATCATGAGATATGAGAGACAACATGTAACACAGACTCAGTTCAAAGTAATAACCTTATGATTCTGTGTAGCTACTTGTAAAGCAATGTACATTTTTCAGGATAAACATTTGAATATTCAACAGCGACCGTCTTCTAGATTTTGTGTTATGGTGAAGATATGGAAATAATGCAGGAGTGTTAGACTGGACAGGTTGCATTAAAACCTGCTCTGCTGCACTCATACCATGTGAAATGAGCCTTGGGATGAGGGTTTGATATGACAGGCATACGATTTCTAAAGTGTCATGCTGATACCATGCTGTTCAGCCCAGCCATAAGAGTGCTGAGGACATTACATGTGATATAAATGCAAATGGACCTCCTGTTGGACTCCACCCTGATCAGAAAGCAGAGGAGAGGAATGGAAAAAAGGGGGAGGAAGTAGGTATGGGACAAAGTGAAGAGAGATCTTTGGAGGTAAAGTGTGGGCGACATTTGTGAGAGAGGTAGGAGGCGGAAAATATAGGAAGAGAGAAATCAAGAAAGACATCCGAGGAATGAATGAATGTACTCAGGTGCAAGCTCCTCTCTGCACTGAAACAGGGAAAATGGAGAGAAATTGACAACAAAAAGGTATTTCCAGCCCCCGAGACAGTTATCTAAGGACAAGGGACTGAGATCATTCAGGTCTGTTTTACTTTTCTGTTTGAGAATGACACATTGGGAAAATCTAAAAGATTTTTTTGATTTAGTGCTGTCTTTCTTGTCCTGCCTCAGACCCAGTCTGCTTCCATTGTTTAACAATATGTATATGCATAAGTTCATTCCCACTGTCCACATCACAGTGTTGAAAGAGGAAAGGGGGAGAACAACCAAATCCATGCTGAGTCAAATATTTGTGTTGAATAAGATCATTTCGGTTCCAAGTCAATGGAACATGGAGCTTAGTACAAGACTCCCACTCTTGTCTGTGATGCATCCAAGAGTAAAAAAACCCCACAAGAATCTTCTTTGGATTTTTTGTTTTCACATCCATCTGGTTTGAATTGCGTGATGCAGGGAAGAGTAGCTCAAATAAGCAGTAGCCCTGAGGATTCATGGTGGATAAAAGGAGAAGAGAAGCAGTATAGCTTTTGCCTGTGTCCAACCCATGACAAACTCCTTCCTGCTCCAGATTACCAGGTCAGTGCAGGGAAATAAAACTGAAGTATGAGCTTATTTATTTGTCCAGTATGTCAATGTGGTGTGCTTATATCACTGGTCAAAGAGGATGTTTGTCAGTGCGTTACTGTTTGTCTGTGTGTATTTAATTATATCAGAGTCTGCCAGGAAAGAATGATAGCTGATCAAATTAAAGATTTTTTTTTAGACATTTTACATATAATATTCTATATATATATAACAGCTTTTAGCACTAAAGCTTTCTTGCTTTTTCCATCTCTATCGTGTTTTGCTGGTCACAACTCCAACTTTTTCTGTTAATCACAAGACATGCTATCAAACAGAAATATAAGATCCCAGATCCCCCTTGGCACAGGTGGCCACGAGTGCACGATTCAACTTCCAGTCACTGTCTCATATCACAATGCCTGCCGAGCAGCAGAAAGCCAGGCATTTCCCAAGCACAGTGTACCACTTTAATAATAAGGACTGTAGAGATGGAGCAGCTAATGCCCGGCTATTAGGGTTAGATCATAGCTGCTGCTCAAATTAAAGTCACATTAGTAGCGAGATTTGGGAGACACAGAGGGGCAACGTGGTTAAGGATGATGCTTGAGGTGCCTGAGGGCAAAGCCATGAGATAATCTCTCAGCAGTTGGAACATCTAAAGATGTGAAATGTTTATAAGTTTGTGCAAGACAGAGACTAAGAGGGAGATGGAAAAAGACAGGATAAGGGGACTAGTTTAGACATGAACATATTTTGTTTTTGTCAGGCGTGTGATATGAGCCCCTCATAGAATGGTCAGATGGGTGTCAAACAAAGACTGATTCAAACACCTTAATGTGTCAGCACCAGTCAAGAAAATTTACCTCACTGAGACAAAGGAAAACACTGCTAGAGCTAGCAGGAAGGGGCTCATTGGGGGCTCATTGGCCACGTTGCAACTTAATGGATGTTCAAGATCTCCTTCGTGGAGGTAGCTGGATCATTGCTAGTGATCAGAGGACCCCCTGTTGGATGCCAGAGGTAAGGAGAGCTGAGGAAGGAAGCCTGTAGTGCTTGATCAAATGAAGCGGCTGACTGATACACTCAACTGGATCAAAGGGAGTTGGTTCAGGCGGTTTAGGCTTGTGGTTTCCCAGAAGTACCAACTGGTCGCTTCTTTTTGCAGTTTTTTCAGGCATGTCCAACAAAGAGGGTGCCCCTCACTGGAGAGATTAAATATCCCTTCTGGTCTTGGAACTCATGAGTATCACTTGGGAGTGGGATTCTTGAGTTTTTCTCCTTTGTACTGAATGTATAGATGTAATTGCATTCCAGATACTGGACAATAAGAGGAAGTCAAATTAAGGAGAGAAAGAGAGAAACGGTTTGCCGACTGAATGTGATCTTTTGTTTGCTCAAGACTCAGATTTCTTGATGAATTCAAAGCATTGCTCCGACAACTGGAACCGCATCCTGTTGCCATGGACACACCAAAGTGGGTTTAAATAATCCTAACTTCCTCCGTCCTTTTACTTAATGCTTAGTTCTGAATCATTTTTTGAATTTAGTAGGTTAAAAACATCCACCACAAAACGCAAACATTTGTATCCAACGTATACAGCTAGCTTAACAAAGAATCCAATTCCCCAATTAGGAGTAACAGACTCAAATAACTTCTGGCAACCCACAACCTTGACTGGAGGGCAAGAGACTCTAAGCTCTTTCTTCACTGTTTTGGACATTTAGTGTTAAACATTCACAATGCTCACTAAGAGAAATACTTAAAAATAAGCATGAAAACTGTTTTATAAAAAAATTGCTATAATGAAGAATCTAAATGTTTTTTAATTCTATACAGGTGCTTTTAAACAATGTCCCCATATAGTTCTGTGACTGTCTTCAGAAGAAGCCCGTTTAACTCTGGTGCAAGCCGTTCACGCATCTGTTCGTACTGAACCTGTTTTGACACTGCACTTCAGCTATCTCCAAATCTGTCGCAAGTTCTCCCTGGAGGATTAATACAATCCACAGGAGTCCCGTCTAAATTTTTGCACAGCTTTCTTAACATTTGGATATTCTGGATGGCCTGCCACTGTTTTACTCCAGTCATTCCTTCACAGACACTCACTGCCTCAGATGATCATTTGGAATTTTGTTTCTCCTGAAGGATTTTCAATTCTCCATAATAAACCTTTTACCTACACGTTCTATCTCCTCTATTCTGGCCTGGCCTGTGTCACAGCTAGCCCTTAGCATTAGGAGTATATACATTAGGAACATGTTTATAAGGGTGGGATGTCGGAATCAACAACAAAAGAAAAAAAGTTTAATGTCAGTGCAGAGTCTTGGAAATCTCAATTGGCTGGTATAACTTGAATTTTGGATCAAACCTCATGAAAAAAATTCCACACAAACGTCTGGCATAAACAACCGTCCATCCAGTTTCCAACCCCCACTTTATTTCAAGGATGTGGGAGAGTTGGAGCCAGCTGTCATAGGGTGGGTGAGGGTGGAGCACATCCTGAGCAGGATTCCATCAAATCCATCAGCGGGCCACACAGGGACAAACAATACACACACACACACATCCCTTGGACAAATTAAGAGACCCCAAATAACTTAAGATTTATACCTGGACTAAACCTTCGTTCACAAAGAAAGAACCTGGTGCCATACCACAGCGCAGCATAAACAAGGCTGACAAAATCATTGACAGTATTTTTTTACAATACCAGAGAAGAATTGAAGAAGTCTTTTAGTTCCCTGAACACAGCTTCAACTCCTGCTTCGGTCAGACGGACCTGTGAGTTGATTGCTCCAACAGAGATCCCTCCATACCTGCAGGAGCAGAGTTAAAAGCAGAAGGGTAAGGCTCAAATGAAGATACAGGGAAATGTCTTGTGCGAAACCCCCACAACAAGCACAGCACAAAAGTCTGGATCATCTTCCTACCCTATCCTTTGAATAAAAATCCTCAGCCTATACTGGAGTGAAAACAGACAAAAACAAACTTATCAGGTGTAGACATACTCCTTTATAAAGCTGTTTTGACAAATTTCACTCTGTTTTCATCATGAGATTATTTTTATCGTAGATTTTCAAGCCATCATCATAGAGTATCTCAATAATAGGAAGAATACATGAAGCTATGAGTGTGGTTCAGTATAACTACTTTATTTGCAATGTTTGTTGAATGCCCTTTTCTAGGGTTGGAGAGGCCATGACAGAAATGAGTGTAGTAAGTTGGAAGTCAAACTGGACAATGTTATGTAGTTTGCAGCTAGCACATCTTCATATAGCAGCAGGAGGTATGTCGATAGCTGGATAGCCAATCATTCTGAAACGTGCAAGCTTTTCCCAAAGCAGAATTTCATGATATTTTGAAAATTATCACTGCTGCAGAGTTGATGTGAGGTCCAGAATATTGGCCATAAAGTAATTATGGCATTAAGAGCTACAGGGTTTTCCTATACATGGAACAGAATTGACCTAAAAAACAGGAATAAACCTAAATATTTGCTCTCTTTAGCTGAGGATAAAACATAAAATTCAGGAGTCTTTGTAAGTCTACTCATACATAAGGATACACCAGTTCTGGATCGTTTTATATGGTCTCCTCTAAACTGGGTTAATTAGTGCTCAAAGTATTACTGAAACTTGGAGGTCATGAACCAGTAGTGTTAGAGGACTGATCAGAAATGAAATGTTTGGCAAAATGAAATTTGAGAAAATCAACAGAGGGATTTCTAAAAAGTGTAAAGAATAAGCATTTCCACAGGCACATTACTCTGGGTATTGGGACGAGACAAGTGGGAGCATGAAGAAAATTCATTCATCAGGTATATTAATCAAAAATATAAAGCACTTCAGTTTACCAGGGTCTGTAAAGAGCCTGAAGCAACAGGAAAAGGTCAGGTGGTCTGATGAGTCCATATTGACCTTGTTTCAGAGTGATGGGTGCATCAGACTGAAAAGAAGGGCAGAGTAAGTGCTGCACCCATCATGTCTGGTCTCTACCCTGCAATCCTGTGGGAGTTTTAATCTCTGTTAGTGAGGAGCATGTTTGGCGACATTGTATGTCTGAAAAACAAGGCTATTTCACTTTATGAATATACTAAATTAAGGTTTCTCCGTGAATGTTTTTTTTTGTAATGATGGCAGAAGATGAAGGATTATTTCCACACATTGATTGACCACCACAGACTCCAGGTTATAGCTAATCAATACTGTATGCCTGATTCAAACCACTTGTGACATGCTTGCATGTATAAATACATATGACATACCATAAATGTGAATTTAACTTGGGCAAAACCTACAAAGGTAATAAGAGCATGAATAATTTGCCTTGGACTCAAGATTGAACAACGATCAAACTGATGCTTACAATTATCGTCTTTTTCTGACAGTTGGCTTTAAATGTTTTCATAGAGTGAAATGACAGGTTGGGGGAGGCGCATCAGAGAATGGCCCAGCAGGATTTGTCAAAAAATGACAACTGCATAACATATAAAGATGGAAATGACAGTGCAACATGCAGAAAGTTGTCTTTTCAATCAAACTATTCTCAGGTGATCTTCTAAAAATGGATACACCAACATCCCAGAGACACCTCAGGTAATGATTTGACTTTGTATAAAAAACAAAGCAACGCACTGTAAGCCAAAGCATTCAGAACCAAGCCATAAAGTTAAAGATCCATCCAGTGTCTGACAGACAAATAACCTCACTGAAAACTTAAAGAATTGAAAAGGAAAAAGTTATACTCCCAACATTACCTTTCTTTACCCGAGTGTTCAAAAGTCTTGACCAGGAAATCTGTCATGTTCCGTCCAGTTAAATTCAGCAAAGTGTCTGTTGTGTTCTGGGTCCTCTGTTAAAAAAAAAAAAGCCAATCAACTTGCAAAGTTAAAAATGGCTAAACAATATATACACATTCTTAATGAATTATAAAACTATACAATCCAAGATTTACGCTTAAAGATCAGTTTTAAATTTGGAAATACAAAATAAAATCTAAACATGTAATACTCAGTAATAACAAAGAGGCTGATTTATGAGGCAGCAGTTTCCTCTGGAGTTTTCTAGCTATAGAAACCCTTTCATTCTTACCCTGATGGGGTGCTTAGCTACTGATGAATACATCCATCAAACTGCTCACAGCAGTACTTTTCCATGGTTACTTACAAACTTTGAGTTACGTTTGAACTTGTTGAGGTAGCACATAGTTATGCGATTAGAATGTTTTTATGCTGAAAACAACTGCTTCCTGCTGTTAAAAATAATATTCAAGGGTTGAAAATAACACAGAACTGAAGAGTTTGCTAATCTTCAGCAGGATTGTCATGAGTGACACTTTCTGCTTTACATTCAGTCAAGTGCCCTAATGCATGTATCTGTAAGGAGCTCTATTCAGTTGCAAAGGATAAACCTGATGAGAACTGTAATTTGTTTCTGTAAAAACATGTTTTCTAAAACTGCACTGAGAGCCTCTTGGAGCTGGCCTGCACTGCAACATCCAGGGCACAGAGGCCTATCAAAGATCAGCTCAAATGGGAGCAGCTGCTCACCCGCCCATGAAATCTCATCGAGCTGATGCAAAAATCAATACTTAAGAGGACGAATATGTTACAGGTGGAATCTGTTCAGGCTGTTGCGAAACATATTCTCTCACCCCTTATCATAATAGTCAATTAAGCCTGACTATGGGAAGCCTTGCTGAAATCTAGACCCCTGCCAAAACTCAGAGAACTGTGTCTAATGGCAAAGGACCCTAATTAGATGCCCCTCTGTGGATGAATGGGTACATTCAAACATCCAATTAAGAGAGGGTGCGACACACTGCTATGAATACACTCCACCTCGTGCAGAGTGATACTCAGCACACACACACAACAACCTCAAGCTGCTTTCGCCTGGCTTATTTAGAGATAAAACAACAATTATTAAGCAGAATTATCCTTTATAAAGTGCAATTCAGACCCCTGACTGCAACGTAATTTACCAACATACCCCCTAGTTACAAATTGCTTGATGTGTGTGCTTTGCATATACATGGCATTTTATGTAATCTCTTATCCCTGTGGTGAATTAATGAAATTGATACACACAAATAAAGAACCTACCGATTTAAATATAAAAAAGCAACAAAAAAAACAAACAAAAAAAACATGTTGGATTATAAAATATGTTAAATAGTCATGAACCACAAAAACAGAAGTATTGCGTGCCAGGAAAAACAAGGAAGAAAAACAATATTTTGAAGAGGACAAAACCTAGTTTAAACAACAGGAGGAAAATGGGGAGACAGCTGAAATCAGAAGGCATAGAGAAATCAGGTGGAGAAAGCAGAGGAAGGACAGGCCCCATCTGGCTTACAAATCAGAGACGGGGGAGAATAACGGCAACCTTGGCTTATCTCTGAACAAACATGCTTCTCCATGTAAAAGCCACAGGAACCGAGTCACAAACAAAACCTAAAACAAGAGCCTTTATGCTCTTCTGTTTTTACTGTGAGTTTACACCCAGGCCCACATTCAGTGTGAGTCTAATTATCTTGGCCTTTGTCCATATCCCCCATAAAAAGCACAGAAATGGGAACATTATGTGGCTGTGTAATACCTGAACCTGCATCTCTTGCTTATTACCTGGAAACGGCACCAGTGTGCTTGGCATTCTGTATGAGACAGCTCTTCCCCAGCTTCTTAGCTGGAGAAGCAAATTGGTATGAGGGAAATGTAAACTAAGAAGTAATCACATCTGTTGAATGAGCATGGGCATACTTGAGCACTGCAGAGATAAGTGACTGTGCTGTGCTCATATTAATCTTGATGTGTTCATATTGATCGTGCTGTACGTCTACGGTGATATTGAAGTTTAATCTTACGCGTGCATATAAAAGAAAAAGTTTATCCTTCTTTGGCTAAAAATGCTTTCATTTCTCTCATGACCTGTTTTACAAGTGATGAACATAACAACTGTGGTGACATGAATTATCATTATGTATTATTTTTAATCCAGTACAGTACGATGTGGTCGTGTGATTATGTCCAAAATGAGGCCATTCCCATAAACATTTGAAAGTGAGCCAAACCATTATGCCTCTGTCACCTAAAAACTAGGGTACTGTGAAGAGCACAGGTTAGTTTACAAACACAAAAAAAGCTCTTTACAGATGTGTTTGTCCACTTTCATGACATTTAAAAAAAGGTTATTTCGCTATTGTGTTTTCTGAAATGTTATGTTTATACACTTATGTTTAAGTGCCACTGTGTTCAGGGTCAACATGCAATGGATTCATGAACATTATTTTCAATAAGATAGTGAACTGAAAACATAACGATAGTTTTCTCTGATGCTTTTGAGTCAACAACATAAAAGCACATTAAATGAGCTTTAGGATCCCCCGCCATTATAGATTCAGCACTTTCACCCTTCCTGCACACACTCCAGCTGAAAGACTTTTGTTTAGGTGTTTAATCCAACAAGTTAATGTAGGTAGCACACAGGCCTGTCTTTCTTTATCTCTGCACAAATGGTAAGCTAATGGCCAACTTCAGTAGAGTGATAGATGAGGCCAAGCGGGGTAATTTGCAAGCAAGCTGTAGTTAGGCCAGTTTCCAAATGATAAAGACATCAATCGTAATGTGGTGAATGTGTCTGCTTTATCAATTCCTCTGCACGCATGGCGGCCTATTCATCTATGAAGGTTAAATATCATCAGTGAATGAGAGTCAATACCTCAGAATTGATAGCAGGCTTACTATTGCCTGCCATTACCATGGAAACAATGATTTCACACTACCTCCTGTAGCTCTATGTCCATTTCCCACCCTTTCTCTTATTTTCTGTCGTTTCTCAAGGACAAATTCGGGGGATCGACTTGATGAAAGATATATATGTGAAAAAAATCAAGGGAAAACTCATGTGAAGCTGGTACACTTTGCCATGATTTATTTAGTAGGGGAATCTTTCAGGTCAAGGCGAATACATCCTCATAATATGCTCCACTTCCATGGGTGGTCTCTGCAATGGACTTGCACTCATTTATGCCTCTCTACTATGAACCAAGTTTACAGGTTAGAAATGGAGGGCTTACATTAAACATATAAATTCATTGGACAGACTATATCAGTTATATTGTTCTTAAAATCGCCCTTTATTACATTAAATCTCTACCACCTAAAGATCATACTGTCACAGCAACATGACATTTTTACAATTTAAAATGACATATTTAATGATGATGATGAAAAATGGACACCTGCCAAATTGATTAAGCTTTGTTTTGTGAAGAAGAGGATGATGTTGTCAAAAAGGTGACCAATGAATTCCTTTGATCTACAAAAAAAGAAATATCACTTTCAAAGGACTGAAAGTCACTTTTAGAACACAATAAAAGGTCAGATTAGTATTGTGTTTTTGAAATGTTTCATATATTTACTGGGACTAAGTATGGTAAAACTACCAAGCTTCACCAAGGTTCCACAAATTACCAAGACACGAATTTTAAACAATAAAGGGGTGTTTTTAAATGAAATATGTGAAGACAAGAATAAAATAAATAAAGGGTCTGAAAGACAAAACATAATAGCTCGACAGAATATTTGACAGAAACAGTGCCCTTATAAGATATGGACCCAAATATGAGGGACCAGCAAAGGTCACAGAAAGGGCAGTTCTCATGTTTGACTGTCAAGAATCATCCCCAACATGTCTCCTGGGCAGTGGTTCATTTTATGTGGACTTCAAAAGCTTGGTCAGGGAAAGAAGCACACCGCAAGATTCAAACAAGTTCAGATGTTACAAATTCATGCAATGTGAAAAACCACATTATGTGGCATAATAAAGTATAGAGGGTAAGTCGAGGTGATATGTGGTGACATAAAGGAGAGAAAGAGCACTGTTAAACTATAATAAGACCTCCTGGTGTTATAAGCTTTGAAAAGTGCCATTCATGAAAATTCCTTCATTTGTCCTTACAAGAAAGAAAATGCATCTTTCATTTAATGGAGGCGGGGGATGTGATAGGTACCCTTTTGCTAATCATAGTTGCTTTGATTGAGGATTTTAAGTCACTGCATCCTATTTCTATTTTATACAGGATTCCAACTTTTGTACAAGTGATTATTAAGCATTTACAAAATCAGAGCTACAAAAAGAAACCTTTTCCCAAAAACTTTGTGAACAGTATGGCTCTGACTATATGAAATCTGTCAACTGCTGCAAGGAACTGATCAGATGTGACTGCTATAAGTGTGCCCTTGCTTTCTGCTAAACAGTGAAAATGCTTGCAGATGTGCAGCTCTTTTGTTTAACAACTAAGGCTGTGATCTGTGTCTATATGATAGGTCTCGATGTATTGCACATTATTCATTTTCATGTTGTGAAATGAATCCACTGAATGCCTGGATTATGTGTACGACAACTCTTAGCGAAACACTAATTAGGTTGTCTTTGTCTTGATCTCTAATTGAGTAATATGTAAATTGTCTGTTTCATGAATACACTAAAAGCTAATGTGACTTAATAACTTAATAACATAATTTATTTACCAACTATGCAGACAACACAAATGTATTCATTTTTAAATCCAAGGTTGTTATTATGATTTTTCTAATTTAAGTTAAATTTTCTTAAGCGGAAAAGGTGCATTTTTATTTCAGTCCATATCCATCAACAAACCAACATTTCATACCATTAGGAGATGAGATGCAGGTGTTAGCGTTTCCATTCCCAAGACACAACCCAGTTTTATAACCCCATTTTCCACACCTACCTGCACAACAGGATTTGCTGCCACACCCTCACTTTTTAAATCCATTTACACCAGGGCTGCCCACCAGCTCTCTACGCATCCAGGTAGAGCTGCTACTTATTTCCAAGAGTTTTAAAAGCTGGTTAAAACTTTTTGGAGAGTAAAAAAAGGAAAAATATATCCAAGACACCACCATGGGAGGATTTACAAATTGCTGTCACAAAGAGGGTTGTGTGAGATGCTATTATTTTTTTAGGTAAGATAAACAAGCACTATTACAACAGTGGTCAGAAAAGAGAGGGTGAATTTATTTAGGATTAAGGGGGAAAGACAACCACACTGCAATGACCACAGTTACACCGAACGAGGTGTACGTCTGTGGCACTGAAACTACAGAATTATATACAAAGCTCTTTAGTTATGTCATATAATGGGATCTAATTTCACTGTTTCATAAACAGCATACATTATTAGAATAAGAAAACATTACTTCATTATAAAGGTGAGGAAGGGGGCGTTGATGCGTAATGCATGCTGCTAAAACCCTGTCATCCTCATATTTTCTCACATAACAGATGGATGAATAAATAAACACCACATTGTCCCTTCAAATGTTGTTGTCATAAAGAGTTGTGCAAAACCTAAGCATTTATTTTGGATAAAGAAGGTTTTATTGTTTCTGATGGTTAAAAGACAAAGGAAGCAGTGATGCTCCTTTCCTGAACATGCAAAGAACCTAAACAGCTCTTTAAATCCATTAGGCACCTTCCTGAGAAAAAGACTGTTTGACTGGACACCAAGAGTCTAAGATTCCAGATAGTGTTAACTATTACGAACCAATCCTATTCCTCACAGGGAGAAAAAGGGAGATCTGGATAAGGATACCTTTAAGACACTGCTGCAACAACCAGTGTAAACAGACAATGCCATCTCTGATAATGGCAATACAGGGGCAACAACAGTTTCTCTCGTAGATTTCTCATTATCATTAGGAGACCACAGCGCAAATCATTTAGCTCCAAATGAGACACCACTTTCTCTCTGTATCATGATTGGTTCAGTCAGCAGGCGATGGCTGGTAGGCAGTGATGCGGGCTCCCCTAAGTTGCCCATCGATCTGCAACTGGATCACATCATTTCAGGTCAGGCCATGCAACATTTGCCCTGGCTGCATTTGGCCATGTATATTGTTAAAGTAATGGCCTATAAAAAATTGGTATTGACTTCTGGAGGATGAGACGTGCAAATCTCTCAGGATGTGTGCAGAAAAGGAGAGGTCCATTTCAAAGTCTATACTGGCACTGTTAGTGAAACGTGCTGAAGCATACTACGGCGTATAAAAGCCACCACATCTGATAAACGTGAAGGACACGCTGTCTGTGTACAACTGCATTTCCTTTTCACTGGCACTGAACTTTCCAGTGTATTTATAAACAGAAATCAAATTTGGTCCAACTTTCATGTGCACAACTTCGCAAAAAAAAGTAATGCAATTCAAAAAGCTGACTTACATTTCGCAATGCTATGCAAATCCCTTGTTAGTAAGTACCTTTACATTTTCAAATAAAAATGATGCTGACTGGGACTTTCAGACTGCAGGCAAAATGCTACCATGATAAGCACTTTCATTGTGCCGCTATGTCACAGATACTATTTCATTTACATTCACGGCATCGCACTCCCTTGCTTCGTTGCCGGTGATCAAACTTAAGGTGCGAGTCACTAACCTGCAGTGGAGGTAGACCTCCTGCACCAAGTGGACAGTCCGGCAACATGATTGTGCGTTTTGGAGTGCTGCACTGACAGGGGGGAGAAGGGTTAGACATGCTCCAGTTCCCGTTGAGGAATATGTCAATGACTGCCTGATCCACAGATGGTTTGAACCAATCAGAACCACTTGAGGAGCATGGAAGTTCCCTGCGGAAAAGAAAGCAACAAGGAAGGCAGAATCATTTGCATGTATGACAGCATGGTTGTTTTCATATTCTGGACTGTGTCATAATCAGTGTATAAAGAAAAGGATTTAAAGAAAGAATTGAAGATTTGAACTTTTATGCTCAAGTGTCTTTAATGTGTATGTGTGTGTTATGTAAAAGTAATTTGTTTTCAGTAATAGAAAATGTCTTTTAGATCTAACATTAAACTTCATGTTAAGAACAGGAAATGAGAAAAGAGGGCCAAACAGATGCATAACGTCTACCCAGACAGCTTGGAAAAATGCATGATCTTATCAGCATCTTCTGTTATTGACATATGACCACATAATTCTGGTGCAACATCCTTGTAAACTCACGGTATTGGGTCTCCATTCATGCAACGTGTACCAAAGCCCGGGTTGTTCACCAAGGATTCCACCACTTGAGAGACTTCTGCGTTTTCTGGTATGTCATTGCTGTGAATTTTCCAAATTGATTTCAAAAGAATGAACAGCGAACCATTTGTGTACATAACACAGTTTATTTTCCTATAGTACACAACATAACATGTCAAGCAGTCTTAGAGTAATAGAAGAGAAAATAATCTCGAGTTCAAAATCTTTATTCTCTATGTTTGAGAATGTCTGTCTATCTTTTAATAACAAAAAGCTTATAAGAAGGTTTAATATCAATCTTTTCCATTTGGGATCAAAATATGTGTAGAAAGTCCTTTCTTTTGCAGTTTGTTGAATCAAAGCCCACATGGAGAACATTCATTTGAAAGGTGAGGATCAGACCAGGATGGTATCAAAATGTTATCAAGTATTGACAACTACACTCAAATTCCATATTTTTAAAAATGCAATCTGAGCTGAAGGGTTTTTGTTGGCAGATGATATAAAATTGATTGCTCCATCCATTATCCATTGCAACTCAACACTGGCGGTGTGAGTCAGGGTGAACTAAATCAGTGTCTATTGATGGTTTGACTACATTTTCATTAAAATAAAGGATTAAATATTAAATTTCCCTTTGGGAAGTCAGTTTGAACTGATGTTTGCACAGGAGAGTCAACGCAACAAACAAATGAGTGATAAAAATATTAGAACAACTCTAGAAGCTTTGGGGTTTGGATGATGGGCCGTAAAATATGAAGCACGCACACAGGTACTTTGGATTGGTGTATTTTACGAACTTCCTGTCATTGGAGTTGATGTAATTTACTGATACCTAATGCAGCCTACGGGTAGACAAGCACTCATATTTAAAGAACAACTTAATCAAGACAGAGGGGAAAAAAAATCAGTGTTTTTTGTGGCCCGGGGTACAAAACATACATTTTTAATGTCTATTAAAATACTGCTGTCCATAGCTTGAAACTTGCCTGTTGCATGTTCCAGGGCCAGTGTTGGATCTGTGTACAGTAAAGGCTCCTTAAAGCATTTCATTATTATCTCAATGTTCTTTAAATATCTGAGACCTGTGTCTCACTTAACCAATCTTCTCACTCTCTCACCATCACTTCTCACCATCACTGCCCTTTATCTTAAGGGTATCGTGGGAGTTAAAACAGTGTTCATTAAAGACCACCATGATGGCTTGAAGCCAGAAGTAGCCACAGCCCAGCTGACCATTTGGATTAATACAATGTTCATTGCCTCATTTGAAGGCATCTCCATGAAGGTCACACGGTCATTCCCTGGCCTCTAGTGAGTGGGATAGAAGTGGTCTGCTTGTAAAAATGGATTATGTGCAGCCATCTGTTTTGCAATTAACAATGGATGGGTTACCTTGTTATTCAAGATAATAAAACTATTGGATATCTCTGGAGTGAAGATTTGTGCATATAGACGGAAACAGTGGAACTAATGAATAGCTCACAGAAGGAAGAAATGAGACAATATCATAAGAAAGTCAAATGAAGGCGAATGCTTCATTTTTTTGGTGTTTCATTCTATTTTTTAAATCTATGATGTTGCTTATATTCTGAACTCAATATTACCAAACCTTGATCTCGTTACATTATTGTGAGGATCATGTGCATTATTTTCAAGGACAGTCGACACACAACTACTTAAAATATTATCAAAATCATCTGGATCTTTTGTATTATTAGTCAGTTTGCCCAGTTGTTTTCAGTGTTTAGATGAAGAGATTGTAACGTGCTTATTTGTGTTAAGGGATTCAGATGGGTATCACAGATGGTATTCCACATCTGCATTATATCACAATCTACGGTATGTTGCTGGAAGGTCATTAGGTGCTACAAATACTTTGGAACCTGATTTTCAGTGTTGGAAACAGACTGGATGACTAAAGTTGTAGAAGCATACCCTGATGGTGTATTTATGTTTCAGGACCATGGAGAGGGAAACACTGTGCTTAGAGCCATAAAAAAAAACTGCTGATATAGTTGATGTTTTCTTTATAATTAAAGAAAGAGTTTGAATCAAGCTAAAAGCTGATGATGTGGTAATATTTTTCTTTTTGACTTCTCATATTTTATGATTACAAGGCCTTAAATACATAAGTGTAAAGAGAGAAAGGTGGACGCTGTGGATGGAGGTAAACTTATCTTATTTGGACCACTGCTCTGTTGTTGCATTTAATCTTTCTGGTTCTCCTTCATTCAATGGCATTTTTCTATTCAGTTGTCATAAATAGTGTCACCTCAGAGGAATTTTGGCCCACACCCAAGATAAAGACCCCTGGTATGTGTTGGAATTTGATTAAACAAACTTGCATAACAACACTGGGCTGTTATACAGGTTTTACACAAAAGGCTTGTCAGGAATACAGGGTCTATACCATGTTAGTTTATATTAGATGAGAGCTAAAAGACACAAAGTAAATGTTGTTTCGACCCTGATAAACTAACCCACTGCCATAATCAAAGCTCCACTTACTGTGAGTTGCTATCAAAGCAAATTTTACACAGTGTTTTGTAAGGAATCAAATGCCTTCAATTTGGAAGAAGCAAAGAGCCCTTTGTAACATACAGTATAATCAGTCAATATTTGTCTGAGGGTTTGGACAGATGCCTGAGCCTGTAAAGCATATTAGAATTTAGCCATATTTTGAAAGACAATGGTGACAATTTTGAGATATTTTACTCGTAAAAACATGGAGAGATACAGGTAACTGCCACATATGTGTGCTGGATGTAATAACACTTACCACTCTATAAGATGGTGAAAAGATTCTGAAAGTATTTTGCTTTTCACAAAGTGAAAAAAAAACTAAGCTCTCTCAATGATTACATCTGTTGTTATTTGATATCAAGCTGCAGCTAAGGATAGGATTAACTCCAGACTGTGAGACTATAGCAAAGCAAAATGCCAACACTTAGTGAGTACAGCTCTATAACTGTTTTTGCCTTGAGTTTTTTTGTCTCTAACATTCAACTTTCCTTCAGAGTTGCTGTTGTTGTTCATATACTGTAAGTACATCTCGCTATATGAAATCACAGAGATGTTCAGTGCCTTTGAAAACAAAATATCATTTACCATTATTCCATGTTGAAATTACATGGATTTGGTTGTTACAGTCTTCCTTTGGAGTAAATCTAGTCAAAAGGATTCCCATTTACTAAACAAAACAGAGCACAATTATTAAATAAGGTTTTTACCTGTAAAAGGTGGTTTGAGGCACATCATACATCCAGGGTTGCAGCTCCAAACTTGGATATTCAGTAAATGGTGGGACGATGAGGGAGAAGATCAGAGAAAGGCACACAAAAACAGCAGGCAAGACCACCTAGGAGGATGGAGACAGATTTAGTCGAAGGACCTCATTAAATTGTGACCACTCTGCTTAAGACATTCATCCTATGACAACTGAAACTTCTTTGAAGCTCTATGTTACAGAAATCAATTAACATGAGCTAAACCCATGGGAAGTAATGGCTACAGAACAGTATAAACATGCTGTGTACTTACACCAAAACTGAACCAATCTCAGTTTAAGATTATACACACAAAACTTGTTTTGAGGTGTTCAAACTCTTTTCACTGATTCTAAGAACTTAAAAAAATTCCCGGCTTTGAAATGAGTCATTTTATATGTGTCTTGTACTTTAAAGAAACAAAAAAATTGTAAAAAAGAAAAAAAATCCCTGTGGTGGCTGCATGGTGATACAGATGCATGTTTTCATGTATAAGTAAGATGTCAGTTTTATTCTTCTTTCTTGAGCCCCAATGCTGTCATTTCATGCTAAAAAATGCTAAATGGAAGACGAAAGTAAAACGAGATGGTATCAAAGTCTGGACATAAGCACATGCTCCCTGCCAACTTGCTTGAGCTCAAGCTTTATAAGTTTGATGAAACACTTACAACCCTCTGACCACTCAGATTTAATTATTTCCTATTCCTCTCTCATATTTTGTTATAAAAGGGGTTAAAAAAAATCTTGCCACCTTTTCTAAACTGCCTCTGCCCAGTCTCATTTTCTTCACTGTGTAATTCTGTTTTCATTACATTGTGAGACAAAAAGGTCAGTACAAAAAACGTAGGATACCTTTACTGTTTAATCATCTGCAGGTCGGGCCACAGTTGGCAGGAAAGGGCAGGTTTGCCTACACTTTGATAAATTTGCGGGGCATGCAGTTTGCCTGGTCAATTCAGGACCGCAAAGTTAAAAATCCTAAATTAACAACCAGTACATGAACCTATGGCGAGCAAAGGGCAGGTAAAAAGTAGCAATAAGATGGAATGACTAAATCGAGCATTGCAAAAGGAAGTAGGATTCCTGTTCGGCTGCACTCCCCTTCTTTTGTTTGCCCTTACTCAACAGTAATTGCAGATGACAGCTGGAGCTTCTGCTATTGAGAGAAATGTGCAAAACACATGGAGAAGTCATTATGCCCAAACAGCCACAACATTCCCATGAACCATGCACGAGTTTAGCACATTCTCAAGTTTATTAGGAATTTGAAGAAGAGGATTGGGTTAAATGCAAAGTGTGTTGACAAAAAAACATGATTAAGTTGTTTTTTTTTCCTCAAATAAAGTCAAAAGTCTTGTTATAATGAAAATAGTTTCATAAGTCTGAGCAGTTTTATGGGAACCTTTGCTTCTGTGCTGCACCTTGAGTTGAAGTGGCTTATAGCCTCTATTTTACTGATATTTCACAGACATGGGAAATCCTAACAAATCATCCTGTTCCATTCACAATACTACAAAGAATCCCTCACAAACCATGCTAAAATATTGATATTAGAAAATATTAATTGTTGTTCAATGTTTTGAACTCTATAAACAATTGATTTGCAATCCTCACATCCGTTATGAATTTCATCAAGGATTTCAAGCAGGCAACGACTTTTGAAAAGTCATCTTAAAGTTTACACTTTTTAAAATTACAGAACAGCGTATTTAAGACTTGAAAAGTAGAACCGAAACATTTGCAGGCCACTTGAAATCTGGTGCATTACACTTTTAGAACTTTTTAAATGCCAACATTTTTCAACTCGCCTATCGAAATGCAACTAATAAGTGCTCCATGATTCTGACATTACCCAGACTTTAGTGTCTCTAACTTGCAGGTCCATAAATCACTCCTCCTGTGTTTGAATTAATCTCTTTCATGTTCCTATAGCTGCTTACATTTGAGGAGATTACCTCACCACACAATCATATCTCCTGACAAAAGGAGCTGTTGACATCATAGAGGAGGGAAAAAAGCCTGTAGTCAAACAAGTAAAACCGTTGGAGACGTGTCCTTGCAGACAATGTGGAATCTTGTATATACACATTCACATCCTTATCCTACTATGCCGCTCCATGTGCTCACTAAAGAGGGACGTCCAAGACTGACAGTGACTAATGTGCCTTGGTGCTGCAGCAAATTACAGGAGGAAGCCAAGCACCTCTCAAAGGTGAAACATTGTTCTTTGTGTCTTTCCTTCTACACTTCTCTGGCTCACCGACAGACGAGGATGTTCTTTGCTGCACAATTTCAGACGCAATTATGTCAGCGTGGTGGCAGATTTGTAATTGATGTCATCTCTAATATTTAGAAACTCAGTACGGGCATAGATGGAGGCTGGCGAGCAAACCACAGTAACTTAGGACTGAGCACAATTCTTTACTTCATGGAAGGACAAAAAAAAAAAAAAATCAGCCTCCTGAAAATTGCTACTTATCAAAATTGGTTTGGACTTGTTGAAATTATAGCTCTTTATTAGTTTTGACTTTTGAAATTATGTTTGTGAGGAATAAAATAATATAGACATTGACTTAATGAGCTAATAGAAGTCTGTCATCTCAGTAATTGTTATGCATTCACTTTTAATGCATGGCTAATGAAAACACATGATTAGCACACAGTAAAATGAAGGACAAACAAATCAAAAGTGTCACGCTGCCTTTCTGATGCCAATCACAGTGTCCAGATGAAAGTTGAGATACTGAATGAAACCAGAAAAATACAGAACAGGGACATTGAGAGATTTGTGGGCAGAGGTGTTGTCCTTTTAGAGGGCAAATGTGCAACTGACAAATTTCTGTTCTAAGATATTGATACCCAGAGTGTCCCTGATTTAATGCAACTAAAACATTTGCGGCAGCTGAAGTAAACCCTAACTTTTGTCCCCTCCCCCCCAAGACCCTCATTGTTCAATGTATGAGATGATGATGATTGTACATTCTCTTTACTGGCACATTTTTGTATTATTCCCGTTGACCCTGGATACACTCAGCAATTTATGTTGTGCTTTCATTGTAAATTTCTTTTCAACAAACTAAATTCAACAACCATTGACTCCAGAGAGATGGATGGCTATTCCCTCCAAGGTTTAAATTAGCTCACTATATAATACATGTCACTTACTGATTTTGGAGGCCAACATGTATTTCACACAATCGTAACTTGATCCTCCCATGTAACCATACAAGTGTAACCCTTCAATTCATCAATGTGACAGACTGAGGCCATTACCTGGGCAATGAGTCCCTTGCGGCTCCTTCGGGCGTGATGGAAGCGCTTGATAAAAAGTGCCAGGAACTGCCTTCTGATCAGCTTCCATCCAGTGATGACCACAGATCCTCTTCCACTGACACTCGCCTTCTTACCCAAATCTGGCAAGGTGATTAAATGGTGGTATTATTTAGCATTTATGCAAAAGATGTACTCAGTGTGCTTTTCAGCACCTTTAATGGGCTGATCAAATGCAGCTTAGACGCCTAAACTGCCAGCCACACTCACTCATTCCTTGGTGAAGAGCAATTTTTTAAAAGTCATAAAGTGCAGCAAAGTGGTTCAGAGTGATTCCAAAGGAAACACACGCAGGGCTTTGTGGACATGCTGATTTTCTGTCCGTCAATGAAAACTGTGAATGACATTTTTCCCCCTTCATTAGCTGTTCTGATTCAAAAGACATTTCTCAATGAGAGCTACTTTTATTAATTAAAGGTAACGCTTTTTAACTAAAAGCGTTACCTATTCTTTTTCTTTCCAGAAGGACACACACCACACTTTTTGACTATTTTATTAGCTGCAAATTATGTTGAGCACCTACCTTCAACTTTACTTGTAAACTTTTCCTTTAATGTGTCTGCATGTAGGAAAAGATTCAGAAAGAAGCAAGACTTAGGCATAAAAGAAGTTGAGATTTTCACCAAATATGCAGTTGAAGAACGAACAAATATCAAGACTTACAGTACATTCTGTATTGGGGAATTAGACTCAAATGTATAAATGAGCTTTCTCCAAAGAAAAGAAGAAGTAGAAAAGATAAATTGGAAGAACTTGCCACTCCTCCCACTGATGTGTGCTGTTTTAATGTGGGCGCTGGCGACGCTATTCCTCTTGGATTCACGGGAGCTCCTTTTCCAGTCTCTCACCAACAGCTCCTTTGCTGCTTTGGGAATACAAATAAGAAATGTTGTTTTGGCCTGACCCAATTTGAGGATATAAATAACAATAAGGAAAGCTCCCGCCTTGCAAGATGCCATATTATACCATGTAAAAGCACAAACTCAGGTGTTTCAGGAGCATAGCAATATGAATTCAAAAGAAATAGTTGAAGATGTTAATCCGTGGGATGGCGGGCCACATCAGTCGGTTATAAAAAATATTATTTATATTTAAAAAATTTGAGTCAGTCCCTATCACAAGCATCTTGTGTCTGAGATCGCTTAGCCCCTTTTTTCTTTTTTGGAGAGAGAAGCATGGCCTCCATTTTTTCTGTAGTTTAATCTTGGCATCCACTACAGATTAACAGCTACTTTTATTATCATTTCCCATTTGCCACTGATCTTACAAAGTTGTTCAGTCATGATGAACAAATTAGGCCTAGGCTTATGTTGTAATGGAGTTCTGATTTTGAATTTGAAGTTTGAGAGTTTACCAGGCCTGTGCGCAAATTCAATTTTGGATAAGGAAACATTTTGAAAATATATAAATACTCATTTATTTGTCTGATAATGCTTCATATCAATGTTGTGGAAAAAGATATGAACTGCAACACACTCAAAACACACCAAAAACAGGAACCTCCCGCTGCCTATTACTTCAGATAAGTCATCTACCCATTCTGGTACCGCTTACTTCTGACAAAGGTTAATAAAAATGCCAAGCAGAACTTGGTAGCACCACCAAATTCAGTAGTGATTGCATCAGCCGCTGGTACACCAGTGACTCCTCAACAGATTCAACGTAGCGAGTAAATGAAGTAACTCAAACAGTCATTGTCAGGAATCCTCGACACCTCGTCAGATCCTCTGTTTGTCCTCCATGCCTGCCTGTTCCAGGTAGAATTGCTGTGTTTCATACTCAAAGCTTCTGTATGTGTAGTTTAGTTTGACCTTTATCCAGAGGACCTTGGGTTGTTTGCCTGTGAGTTCCCACTCCATCCTTAGATAAAAGTCTAAAAAAGCTTTTCTTGAATTCTACAGTTTTTTTTATTGTGTGTTGTGTACTACAGTGACCTAAGTGATTTAATTTGGTCCCATTTTTGGTCAGTTGCTTTTTAAGCAGTGCTGGAGCATTATTGGTGTTCATCAGAAAATGCAAAAGGCATGAAACATGAATTACATATATTTTGATTAGATGTCTCTTGGTGCATTGTCCACAGCTGTTGCGATAAATCTTAACATTTTCAGATATGTGGTCAACTTACATTGTATTTCTTCATCCACTCCAGTATCTTCTGCTACTTTTAGAAATATCTGCAAAATGAAAAAAACGGTGTATGATTAATTATGTATGTCTCCCACACCATTAAAAGCACACAAGCAGGATCAGATGAATCTGCAGTGCAACAGAATGTACCATGTTATGCTTTTTTCGTTTTCATTTTATAAAGAAATGAATGATAGAGGAAAGTTGTAGATGTCAGTGATATCCATCAAAACAGTGGGCCACATGTTGCATGAAAGGATCTTCCATTTCATATACATTTTCAAAATATACCAACTCTTTTTTGTGTTACATACTTCATTTGTGCTCACATGGCTATGTTTTATTTCCAAAAGTGTTGAAATAGATTCTGCAAGGATTTAGGGATCTAAATACTGAAATCACATCACTGAAAAAAGAGTTCTAACCTCCATAATCATTCTTACTGAATTTTGTTTACAGTATTATCTTTGAATAATCACTGAATATTTTACCCGCAGTGTATTTGGACTTCAAAAGAAAACATAGATGGATGAAAAAACCTTGTCATGGTTAGAATTTAGAAATTCAAAAGGAATTATTCACATCGCCTGTAGGCTTTGAGTGTCTCATGCATGTCTGAGTTACATGAAGAACACTTGCCAACAGTCACTAAGCTTTATGATCCAACCCTAGTCTGTCTGGCAAACATAAAGCTTGAGTCATTGGCTTGGGAAAAATAAAACTGTGATCTGAATATATATATATATATATATATAATGATGACAACAATATTGCAACCAGCAAATTGAGTTTTTGTAAAATTAATTTATATTTTTGGGTAAAAGAAAAGAAAACTTATTTAGCATATCAGTTTGACTTAATAGTTGGAAAGTCTTGACTGTAAGGAAAATACTACTTTTCTCAAATAAATATGTCATCATGCTGGTGCATCCTGGCAAATTAACAAAAAGATCCATGACATAAACATGATGCAAGCAGCTGAAATCCGGAAACTTTACGCCTTCTGACTACAAACTTTGTAAATATACCATAGTAGCTGCAAGCTTGCTGTAACATTGCTATTACATTCTAACAGTATTGAACTTGACCACAAGAGGTCATTGAAAATACATTAAATTAAGTTGTGACTGTGATCATAAATAAGTGAAAATCAATACATGAATCATCAGAATACCATTGGACATTTCTAACAATAACCATTATGGAGAGTGCTGAGAGATTTACATAACATAAAGCATGTTATGGTTCTTAAGAGTAAAAAATATCTAAAGGAGGAGTTGTAGGATGAACAAAATATATGTAAAATTCTGACTTGTCACAGAAGTGAGAAGAATATGAATGAGTAATGTAAATGTATTTTGTTATCGGGGAAGAACACATTTGTTAGTTTGGCTACTAACGACTTATGCTTTCACATGTCTGCAGAATGTAACTGCATATGTTCCTTTTGTCAGCTCCATGTTGTGTTTACCTCTTCTAGCGTGGTGTCAGAGATTCCATAGCTGGTCAGGCCAAGGTCATCCATTGCTAGGTCAAGCTTTTGGAAGAGGGTGGCAAAGGTCCCATCTCTGGCTCCACAATAGGGCAGAATGAATGTGATTTCCTGCCCGATGCTCTCTAAGAAGACTGCCTCAGGGACGTGGCACCGCACAAGCTGAGTCACAGCTGTCAAATCTGCTTGAGGAATAGCCACAAAGTGACTCACAAAGCACACTGTCGGCTGCAAAGTTTTGCCTGCATTGCTCATCCTTTTTAATATAAGTCTTCGAAAATATTGTTTAGCATTTGGGATCACCACACAATTCCTGTGACATTTAAAGACACTGTAGCTCAGTAAAGATAACTCCTCTGCATCATCCATCCTCAATCTGGGGCTTAGTGAGAATCAATCCGCACGGTGTTGCAGAACACAACACATCCATTATTGATCCAGAACCTCTCATACATAATTACTGAAGCTTAACAACCACTGGCTTGGTGCTTTATGATGAAGTAAATAGATCCACTTCACACCACGGACTAAATTATTTGGGAAAATGTCTTTGTGAGTGTGCACATGTGCATCTGCTGTTTGTTTGATGGAAATTAATAAAGAATTATGTACTCTGATACGTGGAAATTTAGAGTAATTTTCTAACATTATGGTGTTTATTTAAAAATGATATGTCTAATCAATCTAAAGGGATAAGGTAGGTTTTATTTATCTTAATTGTAAGCGTCCAACTGGGAGTTGATTTGTTTCTTGGGTATGCCTGGGTGTCAAAATAATTATTAAGAAATACATATTAGGAAATATGAACAAAAATCAAATAACCAGCAACATATGATGTGTTTGGGTAACATCTGTCTAGTTCAGCTGTTTTCTTCATTTTTCTGACGAGTCCTGGTCAGGTTTTTGAAACACCTAAAATTTAAGTACACCTTTAGGAATTCATATAAATAACACATTTGTTTATTAGCAAATGATAAACGACTTAACTCTAACTTAATAGCAATAAGAAATATTACATTAAGAGAGTTCCATATAGATATGTGCTTTCAGATGTACATATGTGCAATTTTTTCTAGGTGTCCCTAGATAAAAAGGAGAGACTATACTTTTCCAAACAGATTTTGGGAACCTCAGAAATGTCTTTCCAAATGATGTAATGATTTCAAAGTCCAAGAGTCAGGCACAGAAACAGAAAGCTCTGTTTCAACAGTCGTGTTATGTTATCAGGATATTTCTCAGTCATAAGACTTTGTAGATTATTCTAGGATGTGGAGCTAAGGAGATTAGTGAGTAAGTCTGCAGTGGTCGGCGTGGATTGTGGAAAAATCCCCTATGCACGGCATCTAAAGGGCTTCAGGCTGAGTCTGACCTAGTACAGTTTGGTTTGGTGGTTTCAGCCTCCGCCATATGCGACACGCTTAATGCAGTGGGGCTCTCTGAGCTCTATGAAAGCAAAGGAGAACACTGTAATTCACTGTGCATCAGAATGTTTATTTCCCAGCATTGGTAGTTTTAAAAAAATATTTATATGTAAAGAAGAAAAATTATTACTGAATTTTCAGCAGAGCTGAATTATGTGTTTTGGCGGAAAATTAAATCATTCAAAAATGTATGTTAACAAACTATGTGAAACTCATGTCTTTGGTTTACATGATGCCCATCATAAAATTTGACAGATCTGAGATAAGGTTTGTACCTGTTGGATGAGAGTTGCTCCAGGTGTCGCTGCCGATGCCGTCATCTGGGCTGCTTCTGGAAGGACAGCCCGTCTCCTGTTAATCAGAATTGGATTAGAAAGATTTTATCGTGCCTTTCCACTTAGAATGATGAACAGTGCCTCCTTGACAACGCTTGTTGAACATTAATCAATTAAAAAGCATCCACAACTTTCTATTTAATTGCTCAGAATAAAGCTGCATGCATGCATAATTTGGAAGTGGTGACATGGTCAAATTGCTAATGGAAAATTTGGACTTGAATTCTTTTTTCAGCTCAATACAATAAAGAGAAATTGGGGGAATAGTTTAATCCAAGCAGTGGCTGAATAGTACATTTTTCAGAGATGATTTGGGAATTTATTTTCAAACTCTTCAAGGCCCACTTCAAAAGTTTCAGGCAAGGTAGGAGAACCACAATTTTCCACGCTGATAAATACACTGCTTCTTTATGTGGCACAATTTATTTATTTCAACTCACAGAGCCTTTACACTAATGCTAATAGGTTTGGTCCTGCTGGCGTTAGTGCATCTGGTTCATTTGCTGCAATTGATTAAAACTAAGTGTGCGAAGAATTAGTCCATCCCCAGGTAACAATTAGCATCATCCAGAACGTAGGCACGTTTCCAATTCTCATGCTGGGAGAAACTAAACACAGACCACTATGGAGAATAGTGGAAGGAGCAGAAAGAAGCACAGGAAAGTCAGAGAAAATAAATTAGAGTCCAAGTAGAGTTAGCTTTATTTTTGGACATCTTAAATGATAAAACAAAACAAATTAACCTATTCAAATAACGGGATATTTATGAACAATTACTATAACAAGGGCATATGCTAGAGACTTTTTTGTGGATAGACAGCATTTTTTGTGGAAGGCAGAATGAAGCACCAACAAAGAAAATGTTAACAACAACAAACTAAGATAGAACATTACTGGGAATGGAGTAACTGATAGCAAAAACCTGGAAATATCTTCACATGTGACACAAATGACCATACAGAAAGCAAACAAAAATATACTGAAGTATTTAAAGACTTAAGGGGCATAGGTCTGAACCTCAAGCAATGAGTGACACCTTCACAACTGTATGAATATTTTAAAGTCAAAAGGGAGGCAAACAATACATTTGACAACTAGGCAGCCAAAAATATTCATCTGTTGATATAAAACTGCCTCAGGATACTGCCCTGCAGAACAAAGCTCTCCCTCATTCTGAGTTAATTACAAATTATTGGAGTCATCATGGGTGCAAATCTTATCTACAGATAACCAAGATTAAGAATATAATGACCTCAAATGAATATGCTGAAAGCAAACTAATAACGGGTAACCCCAGACGCTTACTTTTTGAGCCTCTTTGGCCTGAGTGGGGATGATGCCATTCCGCTGAGCAGTCATCTTTTCAGCCCCGTCTCTGACCAGAGTCAGGTAGTAGCCGCTTCCGAAACATTTTTTTAGGAACAGTGAGGAGCCACAGCAACGCATCTTGCCGTGAGCGATGATTGCAATCCGATCGCCCAAGATGTCGGCCTCATCCATGTGGTGTGTGGACAAAATGATGGTGCGGCCTGAAAAGTAACAGAATACACAGTGGCTTACTTTTAAGCAAATAATGTAGCGAACACAAGAGTGATGGCAAAATTGAAGAGCCGAGTTTGATTTTATGGAACATAAACACAAAAAGAAAAACATTTTTCTCTTTGGAACATATTTATCCCAACAAGTTTCATCGTGAGCTGAAAGCTGCATAAGACTTTTTTCTCGTGCAGATTTTTCAAATAAGGCTAACATCTCAATCTCTCTTATCTTCTTTGTGCTGGTGTCTTATACTTATGCTTATCAGCATGGCAACAAAAAAATAACTTGAGCAGAGTATGTGGTCATGAATCTGTGACAAAATGAAAATGAGTATAAAGGGCATTGGAGGCCTGCTTTTCAGCATTTCTGCGGGATTCCATTTTATTCAAACTCTTGTCTTTGTTCCCAGAGTGCTTTGATTCAAGAGCCATCAAACCGAACACAACTGCAAATGTAGCTTGAATTGCAAGATTATTCACGGGTGCTCTAATCCTTTTATGTCATGCCATATCAGATTAAACCTGTTAATAGTAACTTACCCCAAAAAGCAAAGGGAAAAACAGATCTGTAATAAAGTCACAGCATGGTCATGTCCCTGCCGTATGTTTGATCCTGTCACAATCAGGAAGCATTTAACTTGTTCGTTCTCTAAAAAGGAAAGATTATTGCTAAGAAGAAAGTGGTTTTAAGAGGATTGTATTATATCAATTGAATGATGAATATATATCCATAGTTAGACCAAAATGCTAAAAAAGGATAATCACAGATGTGAGTTTTCTGAAACGGCACTGTATAGAGCCAACACTTTAAAAAAATTCCTTACAGTGTCTAAACAACTTTCTCTGCTGTCCCTGTGTGTATCTTTACATCTGCAAGATGGCAGGTCACAAAAATATGTACAGGTGTGAATTTTGGCCCTTTCTTTCCTGCATTTGTGGGTGTTTCCTGCAAAGGGCCAGGTGCTTTGCTGAGCATGGCTGTTTTTGCACCGTGTTAAATCTGTATCCTCTCAGGTCACATTATCCAAGGGACAAGGACACGCTCTGAGGTCATTAACTGCGGCCGGATGCAGCCATTTTGCTTGGCCAACCATTTCCCCTTCTCCTTCCACACATGTATGCCCTGCAACCACCTGAGCTGCTAAATCCATCCAGTCTCAGTCAAATATTTCTGCCTCATACTTGGCTTAGGAAGTGTCGATCCCTCTCTTTATGAGCTCAAATGAAATACTCAGGTTCTATGAATGCTCACAAGTCAGTCAATTGAACATATAAGCGGGGAACGGTACGCCTTTAAGGGAGGAAGTTGGAGCAAATTGCTTGAGGTTTAGTAAGACTCCACAAACTCATTTTGCATAGGGTGATCAGACTTGAGAATATTTTCTTGAGGTTGTAGGAGAAAAAACTTCTGAAAGCATTGAATCATCTGCGAGTTGGAAGAAAAAATAAATGTGTATGGACTGCATATGGCCCACATAGGTATTCTGATTTATAGTGTGTTGTGGCACATTACGGCACAAAGTAATATATCAAACTGAGTTGGGTGTGTTCAGGTAAATTGCAAGTACTCGCAATGCGTACAACAAAGTGGAGCCAGAAAACGGGTTTCTGCTATCTAGCTCCATTCCCTCTAAATCAAGTTGATAGAAATGGATTTCACAGTGGATGAGAAAGGCCAGACAGACATAATGAACATCGGCAGTACGATGAATTATTGCACCAAACTGTATTTACTGCTGTTAGGGGCAATCAATTCAAATCAATAAATTTCAGAATTATCTTGACACCATTTAAAACCTTGTCAACTGAGTTATAACAAACAAAATGGCACTATATTAACTGTACAATTTCTACAAAATGGATTAAAACAACACTGAAAAGTGGTCAAATTATTGGCACGCTTTGACGTCAAACAGTGTGGTTGTTGTTAAAAGTTTCTGGGCAATTGCTGATTGTTGAAACCAGCGTGAGTATGTTACTGAATGTTGTGACATTTCAAACATTAGGCTTCAGTGCTGCTGCTGTCATGTTGGCTATATTCTGCTCGACTAAACTTTTAACACATTTGTATTTTGGTGAAAAACCTTCAGAACAGCATTTTTCTTCTCTTATCACAGGAGAGATACTTATGAAACACCCATACCAAAAAAGACATTTCCATGCCATTTGTACTGCTACATTGACTTCAGCTCCACATTAATTTGTATTCATGGGAGAAATGCATTATTTATTACACAGTATTGCCGGCCTCAGCCCTAAAACTCAGCAGTGAATGGGGTCTTTCCAAACTTCCAACTTGAACTGAATACATTCAGAAAAATTTCAGGATAAAAATGGTAACAAAAATATACTACTCATTGAGAAAGAGAATTTCAAATGTGTTCATTATTATTTTTAATTAATTTTCAAATGTATTTTACCCTCATGCATTTCTCTCAAGAGCTTTTGAACAATTAAAAAAAATCACCACCACAATAGCTAACAATAGATCAAATTTGGACCAGTGTAGTTATATTTACCATTCTGTTTTCTCTTTTTCACAAATTAATTAATTTTCTTTTGGCACTGATACAAAGTTCATGGTATCACTCAAATTAGAATTTAGAAAAATATGGGAAAACTTTACAATACATTAGGTTCCCCGCAATAGGTTGCCTAAATAACCGTTTTTGAAGGGAACACTCTCAAACCAATTTAGAATCCTTACAGAAGTATTTCCATTTCAAATGCACACATAGCTGCTGATGCATGAGGACAGAAGAAGACAATTCAATAAGTCAGTGGGAGTAAAACATAATATTCAAGTGGTTGTTGAAGGCTATGCTTGGACAAATGAAACATGATGAAGAATCATGCACGCGAATTCTCCGGGAAATACTTGAAATTTGTCATCTTTTCAAATCACAAAAGGCGATACAGAACACTGTTAAACCAAGCAACGCTTATGGAATGAGGTTTCATGGATAAAAAATGTATTATATTTACAGACTACACAAGGCCTCTTCCAGAATAAGGAATTACTGTGGTAACTCACAGCAAAAGTGTTAAAAATAAATAAATTAAAAAACAAAACATTATATATATATACATATATAAATAAAAATCATGATCTATAATTCTAAACTTTACATTCTACAAAATTTTAAAATGAAATTTTGAAATATTTTAGATTTTTGATAGCATTAAGTCCAACATGAAGACAACAATAAAACAACATGGTGGTTTAGCATATTCATTCAAATTCAGCAATTATGACGAAAGAGATCATGTTTGGTCTTCTTAAGCATGCCCTGAGGAGTTCATTTCAGCCACAAAACAGTGCACTTGTGTTCATATTACAATATTAGTTGAGCAATTCTAAAGCAGTGTGGAAGCTGCCACCAAACAAATAAGCTCCCACTCAATTTAATCAAAACTACACCCACTTGGGGGTATGTGGTCAACCTGTCTGTGTGAAAACCACTGCGTTTAATTGGCTGTGAGGATATCCAAGTTCAGTCTTCAGTTTTTTCATACAAATAGACTGCCTGTGGATTTGAGTCCTTTTGCTTAATGGCAATCCTTTGTAAAAAAATCTAAAATGAGACCGGAGTCATTTTACCAGGCGGAATGTGGGGGTTCTCATTATAACAGAGTTTTCTGCTGCTTTCAATTGGAGAGAAAAGACTTGATTAGAGAGAAGAGAGCACTAATGACACAGTGAGGGCAGAATGTCACATAGTGCACATTAAACATTTAGACATCTGTTGTGAAAACGGGAGACTATAATGTGCATGTCCTGCTAAAAGCCATTATAGCGACCACAACATATACACAAGGGTAGAGAGTGACAGGCCAACTAATTTGGCATGCAATTAGCTGATCTATCAGTAAGCTACTTTTCTCTCTTTCTATTTAAATTAGTTTGTTCACAATATTTTTCCATCAATCATTGAGTGTTACAGAAAAGGTGGAAAAAAATGCAAAGTCTTTTGTAGATATTTCACTGTGTTAGTAGCTCTCTTACATGTTAGCTTAGCCAGTTAAAAGTTTACGATGAGTTAAGATTAGTTCAAGAAAGTTTCTCACTTTGAAACAGATCAAACACATGCCCTTAGTACTCTTGCCAATTCTAAAAATACAAGAGCCTTCAGAGACTTAAACGGAGCCATGGATTTTATCACTGAACCCATACCTTGTTTGTACTTTAACAGCAGATCCCAAATACCCCTCCGGGCATAGGGGTCCACTCCTGCTGTAGGTTCATCTAAGATGACGATTTTTGAACCACCGACAAATGCTATAGCCACAGAGAGCTTTCTCTGCATCCCCCCTGAAACACAGATAAAAACAACAGTTATAACGGTAATCAGAATTTCTATAAAGCACGACTGACATTTCTATGTTGGCTAATAGACTATATGTCTCTTTTCTTTGAAAAATTCTACAAATCTACTTGTCAGCATCATGTTTCAGATGTAATATGTGCACAAAAGTAAATGTGATTGTAGAATAAATATGTCTAGATATTCTCATTCATGCTTTATTGCCTTCTGCAAACTGAAATGATTGATGGCCAGGAGGCTGATACACCTTCCTACCATAATTTCACTCTCCTCTTTCTAGGCAAGCTCTTCAAAATGCATCCAATGTAGTGCTAATGTAGTGGAAATGTCAGCATAGATCAACCTTGAATGTCATATTTCAGTGATTTTGCTCACAAGCAATCCGTGACACGGGACAATTTATCAAGTAGGACTTGCTCATGCCCCCCAGACAATGAATTACAACCTGTGACATGCAGGTACAGTGAATGTTTAAGAAAGCTACATGCGCATGAGCTGGTAGACGAACAGGAAGGAAAATCTACCAATGATATATACAGTAGGCACAGAAACCCTGGCATGCATCAGCTGGAAAATTTACAATGCTGCTTAATCCCCATCCGACCCAGCGAGAAACACGAATCTGAAATATTTCATAAGTACACATGCTCACCTGACAAATTCTTTGCAAGATCCTTCTTCTTATGTGGTAAACCAACATCTTCAATGATCTGGTCCATCTCAGACTTGACTTCGCTGCGACTGCGTCCTTTCAGCCGGGCATAGAAATAAATGTGCTCCTCTACAGTCAGCCTACAAAGTTGTACAGAAATAGCAAAGGATAAACACACATAAACCAAGTGCAATTTAATTATATCCCAGTGTTTTTGTTATCCCGAGTGTTACATTAATTCATTCAAGACTATCCATGACCATCATAATTAAAGTATTTAAATATATCCAAATGTCTTGTGCTGGCTCACGGCTAAAGATTTAATATGTCGTAATGTTAACCTCTGTGTTTGCATGAATATTTCACCATCAATGAAAATAGATGCTTTCACTGTCTGGAATGAATATAAATGAAAGTCATTTGTAGCTACTCAGCTGTAATTATGATGTAAGACTCAAGTTAAATTTCCGGTCTATTCCATTTGAGCATGTACAAAAAGAGAAATGGAGGAGGCTTGAAGGTAAAAAAAAACAAAAAAAAAAAACAATAATGATCTGGAATGGCACAATTTGGAAAATCTAGTGGAGCAAGCACATAAAGGTAATTTTATTCTAAAAAAGAAAAGGAGAAAGGGACAAAGGCTTGTTGCAGAGGAACCAATATAGGACCAGTAGAAGTGTTGAAATGACCCCTCCCGACCATCTTCTATTCTCTCTGAACAGTTCTAAATCCACTCACTCATTAAATAAGACATTATGTTGTGGACACATTCCCAAGTACTTCCGGATGTTGTCAATGTCGGTGCGAATATCGTATCCGTTGATCAGGGCAGTTCCAGATGTTGGTGGGAACAGTCCTGTCAGAATTGACCTGCAAAAAAACAAAACAAAAACAAGTCAATGAACAGCTGCCATTGTTTTTTTAAATATATTGAAAAATTATTAAAAACGCATTTAAATAAAAGACATGACACTAACCCACATTGACTTTTGTTTTATCATGTAATTAGGAGTGGGACTATAAGATAAAGCTGAAATGAAAACATCAGCGCTGTGATTACATGGTTACTGTATATTCATTTTTTGTATTGACAAATGAGCTCATACACAGCCCAAGTTGTTACACAATACTAGAGAGATAATAGAAAGAGAGAGGGGGGGGGGGGGGAATGTGTTTTGGAAAGGCATCAGCATATAACTTTTGTGTGACAGAGTCTTTTCTCTGCCCCTTCCCTGACTGTGCTCTGTTATGTTTCGTTCCAGCTGCTCAGAGTGGATGTCTTCCCCACAGCCCTTAGTCTTGCATCGTTTGCTCTCTCTGTCGCTTATACTTTCTGGGCCACTGGGTTTCATTTATTTGCTGTCATCCTAAACCCCAACCAAGCTTTTACCAATTTTTCAAGCAGCAATTAGATAACTCCCACTATCAACGCAGCAGCTGACTCTGTGTGATAAATGTCCTCTCAGAAGATGTCACTCTTTGAAAGCAGTGACCAGCGAATAAATGCAGCTACAGTACAGCTGGCACTATGTACAATTTAAGATGGCTAGACCCTGCAAAATTACATAAAAACTCACCTGGAAAATAAAACCGAATAGGATAAATGCATAATAAAGCTCACATTGTAGTGGTTTTTCCTGCTCCATTGTGGCCCAGGAAGGATGTAATCTGATTCTCAAAGAAGTCCACACTCAGTCCGTCCACTGCAAGCTTCTTCCCAGTCTTGTATATTTTGACAAGATTGCGAATTGAGACCCCTGCTTTCATATTGGGTGGTGTTTTTTCTTGGTACTCTTGAAAAAAACCAAAATGCATTCATTTATTAAGAGGCAACAAAACAAATATATGAAAGCTTTCCATAGAGTAAAGCAGCCATTATAAATATATTTTAAGCTCATGTTCCAGAAACAGATACCAATACAAAACTATCACTATTTTTGACAGTACAGAATTGTTCACATTCATTTGTTCACTAAAACATGTTTTTTTTAGTATAACATTCAACAAAGGAAAACTTGAGATCCTAATTATTTAAAGATATTTTGAGTAAAAAGCAACAAATGGAAACAGTCCAGGCTACTGAAAGACATGCCCCCATCCATCCATCCATCCATCCATCCATCCATCCATCCATCCATCCA